TCAAGCATGTGTGTCGGCAACCAGATGAGTACAAAGACATGTGTCGTGCCTACAGTCAAGCATGGTGGGAGTGTCATGGATCTGGGGCTGCATGAGTGCTGCTGGTACTGGGGAGCTACAGTTCATTGAGGGAACCATGAATGCTAGCATGTACTGTGACATACTGAAGCAGAGCACGATTCCCTTAGGAGACTGGGCTGCAGGGCATTATTCCAACATAACTACTCCAAACACATCTCCAAAATGACCACTGCCTTTGCTAAAGAAGCTGAGGGTAAAGGTGATGGACTGGCCAAGCATGTCTCCAGACCTTGACCCTCTTGAGCATCTGTGGGACATCCTGAAACGGGAGGTAAGAGGTGCGCAAGGTCTCTTAACATCCACCAGCTCTGTGATTTCATCATGGAGGAGTGGAAGAGGGCTCCAGTGGCAAAGTGAAACTTTGCTGAACTCTATGCCCAAGAGGGATAAGGAGGTGCTGGAAAATAATGGTGGCCACACAAAATATTGACACTTTGTCCCCAATTTGGACATTGTAATTTTAGGGTGTACTCATTTTGTTGCCAGCGGTTTAGGCATTAATGACACACACACACACTGTGTGTGTGTGTTGCCTTCTTTTGAGGGGACAGCACATTTACACTGTTATACAAGCTGTTACTCACTGCTTTACGTTGTAGCCAAGTGTCAGTGTTGTCACATAAAAAGATATAAAAAATATTTATGAAATGTGAGGCTGTGTACTCACTTCTGTGATATACTGTACTTGTAGCAATGTATGGAAGTGAGAGCTGGACCATAAAGCTGACTGCCGAAGAATCGATGCTTTTGAATTGTGGTGCTGGAGGAGACTCTTGAGAGTCCCCTGGACTGCAAGGAGAAGAAACCTATCCGTTCTAAAGGAAATCAACCCTGAGTGCTCACTGGAAGGACAGATCCCGAAGCTGAGGCTCCAATATTTTGGCCATCTCATGAGAAGAGAAGACTCCCTGAAAAAGACCCTGATGTTGGGAAAGTGTGAAGGCAAGAGGAGAAGGGGACGACCAAGGATGAGATTGTTGGACAGTGTCATTGAAGCTACCAACATGAAGTTGACCCAACTCCGGGAGGCAGTGGAAGACAGGAAGGCCTGGCGTGCTCTGGTCCATGGGGTCACGAAGAGTCATACATGACTAAACAACAAAATGCGAGTAGATAAATAGGTACCGCCATGGTGGGAAGGTAACGGCATTCCGTGTCTAGTCGCGCTGGCCACGCAATCACAGAAACTGTCTATGGACAAACACTGCCTCTACAGCTCGGACACGACTGGACTAAATGTCAAGGGGAGCCTTTACCTAAGACAGAAAAAGTTCAGAGTGACTTGTTGAGCAAAGATGGGGAGCTTGTGGCCATCCAAAGAATGGACTGCAATCTGCATCAACCAGAAGCACCATAGTCCATGGTGGGGAATGACAAGTGTAGTGCAACAACATCTGGAAGCACATCGCGTTTCCTATCCATGATGGATAGAAATAAGTGAGAATGCTCACAGTGTACTCTTTTTTCTTTTTTGCCTGTCAGATGAAACAGAAGGGCCAGTGACAAATACGTTGTGGCACTTTACAGGCTAACCGATGCATTTTACTGTAAGCTTTTGTGGATCAACCCCCCCCCCCCTTCCTTAGGCATCAGAGTGAGAACTTTTTTATTTCTCCTCCTTTGGCCCTCAAGACAACCCTAAACTGGTCGGGAAATGAGCCACAAATGAGCGAGTTCCAACGCTGCCTTTTGCACCTCGAGCAGAGAGACCCTCTCCATTAACTATGAGGACTTGGGAGATATTTAAGAAATCCCTGGGTGTCCCGCCGGAATCAGACGTATAGCCACCCTAATAGGGTCTTCAAAGTAAGCGAGGTATTTGAGAAGCGGTTTTACCCGTCCCTTCCCACCCAGCCCAGGGAGTTCCCTCGGCTGATCGGGGATTCGAACCTTGCCCTCCAGAATCCTAGTCGGTCCGCTTCAGGGTGGGAACAATCAAGAAATCAGGAACAACACCTAAAATACTACAGTTAAAATACTCCTGAACCTCAGGTGCTGGAAGGGGGGACAGAAAAAGGCCACACGCGCGCACCCCACTGCCCGCGCCTGCGTCAACACTCGCCCCCCAACCAACGGACCGCCTCCGGACACAGCCGCTCCAGAAGAAGAGCGGTCGCGGTTCTTGACGTCATCGCCTCCCGAATCCACCGCCCAATAGGAAGGCGGCGAAGCGGAGTGGAAGTTCCGAACGCGACCAAGGCCGCCCCCCCCGGCCTGTTACCGAGGCCGCGAAGTCGCGTAGCAACGGCGACGAAGGTCGGGGCGCGGCCTCGCAGCGTGGGGCGTGCCGGGAGTTTTGCCAGGGCCTGGTTGGGGTTCCTGCGGAGGGTTGCCATGCAGGGCTCTATGGTCCGCCGTACGCAAGAGCTGCTGGGGCGAGTGATTCGGAAGCCGCCCCTCACGGAGCGCCTGCTCAGCAAGCCCCCCTTCCGCTATCTGCACGACGTGATAGGGGAGGTCAGGCTCGGCGAAAGGGGGCGCGGTGGGAGGGGGGAAATGCCTGGAGGAGGGACCGGGTCGCGTTCTCTGGTTGCCAGGCAACCAGAGAGGTAGCGTGGTGGAGGGATGCTTATAATCGAGGGATTCGCCACTTGGCCACTACCTGTCGCCCCTCGGCTGAAGCGCCCAGGCCGTCTCTCCCGCGATCCCTCATGCACTCTCAGGGCCACATCCTGGCCAGCGCGGTCCGCTTTGCAGCAAACTGCCCACGCCGCCGCGTTTAGGTGGAGAAGATGCATTGGTTTGGACCATAGAGCACAATGGCAACTTTAGTTAGGGGTACAGTTGTTGTAGTTAAGTCGTGCCCGACTCTTCGTGACCCCATGACCCCAGGGGTACAGTACTAAACACTATTTCAGAATTCACGGCTACTGGCAATTAACAGGACTCCTGTGTGTTCAGGGTAGGCAAATGCGCCAGCAAGAACTGGTCAAGGTGGCACCTCCTGGCAGACCAACACATTAGTTCCTAATACCTGGTGTGCCATGTCCTCTTTGCCTGTATCCTCAAGATCAAATTACTGTCAAATTACAAACTATAATTGTGTGAATTTTAATGCTGTGAGCTGCCTTAGGTCCCTTCGTTGGGAGAATGCAGCATACAAATAAAACTACTGCTACTAATAATAATAGATGGAGCAGAGAGGGAGACTGGTGGGAAAAGGATGATCGGGCTGATTAAAATCTGTTTGGGCCTCAAATCCCTGTAACTGATGAAACCACCTTCTTATGACAAACAGCTTTCTTGTGCCAGAAGGTTCTGTGGGCTTGGGTCCCACTGTATTAGGTGCCTGACAGTTCTGAGCATGCATGGGCAGTTATGGATTCCTGGGGAAAGTTTAAAAAGTAGTGTCAAGAGACTGCTGGATTTGTTCTATGAGACTGGTATAGTACAATGGCTAGTGTATGGGACCCAGGTTCACATCCCTGCTCCCCCATGAATCACACTAGATTACTTTAAGACCATAGTCTCTCAAGAATGAAGGATGCCTAAACGGACCTTAAGACCATCATTATTAGTCTTTACCACCGGGTTATTGTGAGATTGATAAAGAAATAACTTTATTATATTGGTTTGACTTCTGAAGGAGAATGGAATAAAAATGTAATCGAGAAGAATAATTACTGACCCTGTAAAAACAACTAAGAGTTGTGTGGGAACTTAAATGTTTATTGCTTTCATATGTTTTCATTAAGTGGATTGCCTCAGGTAATGAGGGATATAAAAAAGGGATATGTGTAGTGTGATTGAAATCATCATGAAACATTTGCAGTAATAGATCTACAGAGCTGGAAGGTACAGAAGGAAAAGGTGATAAATATGAAACCAGGGACTTGACTTAACACTGTGGCCGTTGGCTCAGCAAAACATTATATACTTCTGTAGTCCTTAGACTATAGTTTTCTGATGACTTACCTGAACTGATTTCCAGGTAGATATGCAAAGGAGTGTTGGGCAGAGTAGACAAAATGTTTAGCCTGTAGCAGCAAAAATATCAAACAGTTTCTTTGTGAAATTTACTACAGAGTAAATTGTAAAAGAACAGTAGAGTCAGGTATCTGACTTCCTGAGTTTATCTGATATATGATATAAAAACCAGCCACTAGGTCAAGAAGATATAAACTTGGATTCCATGCTCCCATGTGAAGAACATTTGCTCACTAGTTATTCTTGCTGGAAGATGGGAGGGAGATGTCATTTTCAATCAGTCCACCTTCCCTCTGCATCCCCCTGGGGCACCTCCGGAAGAGGGTAAGAGGAGCTGTGGTGGGAAGAGGGAAATCCACTTCTATCAGGCAGGAGCCTCAGTCCCTTCTGTGAATGGAAAGAGCACTTTTCTTCTCTGAAGGGAGTAAATTGATCTTTATTTGAGCCAGATATAAGTAGTTTTTAGCCTCATAGTTTGAGTGTGAGAGATTTTAGCAAGACTTGGTTAGGTTAGAATTTAGTTGGTTTGTTCCTGCACTAAATATTTGCCAGAAGACCTATGCAGTAATGCATTTACTGAAAATCATGAAGTTTGTTAGTAGCAGTCTTACATTTTTAAAATTATCATTGTATACTTTAACTTAAAAAAACACCTTCCCTGTCCCAGATGAAATCATACAGAATATTTACCTGCCATTAATATTAATAATTTCTTGATGTCAAGTTGATTCTTACGACAGCCCTTTTCAGGATTTTCTGTGTGGAGAATACTCATAATGGTTTAGCATGCCCTTCTTCCTGGCACATCCTTGGGCTGTGCAGTTTGTCCATGGCTCCACAGGTTGGCTCTTCTCCTGGGAGGCACAGCAGGAAATCAGCTCCCAACCTCTGACTCCACAGCCAGATACCTAAACCACTTAGCTGTCTAGTCAGCTTATACTGTACCTGTATAGTATTGCCAGTTCTTAAAGAATGGTCATAGCCAAAGGAAATTTTACTGGGCTCTGGATAATGCTAGTCATGGATTTTGTTACAAACACATTATGCAAATACTACAAACAGCAGGATATCCCTGGAGGTAATCATGATTACCTCTGCCATTATCTGAACCTGTGTTCAAGTAGGCTTGTGTGATTAGCAAAATACTCATTAAATAGAATTGTTATGTATATTAAGTCTTATAGAAAAGTGATAAAGCTGAAAACAATGGGCAGTGTCCTGTTTATGCAGGTGAAACATAAAGTTACATTCATGTAAATGTGCCAGACATTATGCCAGCAATGAAATTGTACAATCCAATTGTGAAGTCAGTTGCACAATTCCTGTTGTGGCTGCTGTGCAGTTCTCTGGCGGAAGTGCCTCATGGATAGGACATCTGCCTTAACACTAGTGTAGATACTGCTGGCATAACATTGAATTACACCAGCACCGCTAACCAAGGGAATTTTGCCCATTAATGTCTAAATCAAATTGCTAATTCCAAATAGAATAGAGCCAGTGATTCAATTACTGAATGACAAGTATGCTTTGGTATTGATATAGTACCCTATTGATACAATTTATCTATTCCAGTTGGGACTACCATTTGGATTTAGGTCTAGAATCCCTGTGGAAATGCAGGGATACTCCCACATCAAGTACTATTAGAAAGATAATCCTAAAACATTGGCATTTAATCTAAGAGATATAAGGCTGTTCTTTATTGGATTTAAGAGAACACAGAATTTAAGGACTTTCTGGTACATGTGGATATCTCGTGTGATAAAAATAAAATGATAAACTCCAGGGGACACTTTAGATGTGGTAGATGTTCTATTTGCACCATTACTGTGGAAACTAAAACATTTAGAGTGGATGCACTAAATGTAAATATATAACGAAAACCATTTACCACCTGTTCCACAAAAAGGTCTTATATTTGATATAGTGCTCATGTATATCTCTTTATGTAAGAAGTATGATGCACTCTTTGAGGATGTGTATTTTAGAATATCAGTTGCGTATTAAGAATAGAACAGTAGAGGCATCAATGGTGCCCCATTTCTTGGAATCGGGCCACAAATATGATGATTTTAAGTGCTTAGCCATATACCATGCAACTGGGAAAAAAGTTTGTAAACATTCATAAAGAACTCCTGAGGGAAGAGTTTTACTGGATTTATATATTACAAACCATGACACTAAAAGGACTGAACCTAAATATTGATTATGCTTGTTTTTTGTGACAATATTAATTGTTGTGTACTGTACTTGTTGGCGTATCTGATTGTATCATTTTAAGACTATAATTTTAGGAATGCATGAACTGCTTTAAGGCTTAACACCTCTAAATAATTATGAGACTTTTTAAGGAAAGGATACCAACAGGGACTAAGCATTGCAGGAATACTGAAGTGGCATGGAGAATTCTATGTGTCAGAGTTGTTCGATCTTACCCATAAGAAAAAAAATTACACATGAACTCGTTACAAATAATATTCATTCCTATTTAGCTGAGCAACTATAAAAGGCAGTGCACCCTCCCTTGACAAAGATGTAAAACGAAGATTCAGGCTAGTGAAACCATTGGAGATCATCTAGACATCAGGAACGGAGAAATAATAACTCAGATTAACCTCAGAGAAACAAAAAAGCAAGGAAAGGGACTGAGAGACAGCTGATATTTATGTTTTTCATGCTTATTTGTATTTTTTCTTAGTTGCAGTGTGTAAGAATTGCCTTAATACTGTTACATTTAAATTTCATTGTAAAATACATTTTAAAAACACATTTATCCATGGTAATTATTACTACTAGGCAAGATATGTGATGTTTGGAAAATCCATAAATAGAACACTAGTGATAATGGAGATAAACAATAAAGTTTAGGATACCTGACAATGTTTTTTATTATTATTATTTTAAAGGTAATTAGATCAACTGGTTTCATGAGAGGCCTGTACACAGATGAAGAGATGAAATCTGATAATGTCAAGGTAGGTATGCAGTTCCATTATTTAATTGAATTGAATTTATGAATCATTCCATATGCGCATGGGATAATGAAGTGTGATTTAATGCCATTTCTGAACTGTACCAAAATACTAAATAGTTATCTTTTAAACTTATCGTCCTATCCAATAACATTTCACTGAATTATAGTCAATGAAGATCATCATTTATACTAATATCTGCATATTTTTTTAAAAAACATGTTCTGCTAGGATAAAGATGCAAAAATCAGCTTCCTGCAGAAAGCCATTGATGTTGTCATCATAGTGACAGGGGAACCCTTGGCGGTGAAACCAGCACGTATTGTTGCTGGACATGAACCTGAAAGAACAAATGAACTGCTCCAAGCAATTGCCAAATGCTGTCTAAATAAGGTAGGATTTCTACAGACATCTTTAATCTACCTGGTTCAATAATCTGGTTCACACACAGATCTAGAACTTGTAAATGGGTACAAGTAAGAAGGAGGAGTCTCAAGGGAAGTCAGGGATAGAGTGAGAGGTGAAAGATTCAACATCCCTTAGCCACTGCTCTTCAGCTGAAAATCCATCCCTTCTAATGCCTCTGTTATAAAGATACAGTAGACATGCACTTGTATACGTCATTGTGTAGTTACCTGTTCATTAGTTCTTCTCTGCAATATGTAATTAATTCATCTGATGGAATGCAGACTTTGCTTGAATTGCCATGTTTACATAATAGTGGCCAAAATCATGTTGTGTAGCTATGCCTGTGTAGCTTGAAATTGCACAGACCCCTGTGAAATCTGCACCAAGCTGGAAGTCTTATACAAGAAGCAGTTGTGTGAGCACAATTGCATGGTGATTTGTACTGTTGGTGCATGATTAATTGAGCAGTTAGTTGTACAACTAGTTGCAAAGTCAGACAGACAGACTGCCTGGGTATAACTGCCCATGATCTTCCTCAGGTATAATTTTATGCTTTGCCAAATGCAATTGGATTCTAGCAAATGTGAGATAAAAATATTTTAAATAATGTAGAGAAATTGTAAACGTTTTTAAAAGAAGAGAAGAAGAGGTGATGTTTAAAATAATTAACAGTGTATCTCTTGGAAAATAAGCAAGCTGTTAGTTGCCTTTTTAGACTTTCAGCAACAGGTTCAGTTGTAAATATTTGGACTTTTACGTGGAACTACTGAAGGCTCAAATGTCAGCAAATTATGATGGCAGAAATGGGATATTAGAATTGCTGAATGTTGCCTGAATGCAGAATGATCTGAAGATGAGAAGAGCAAGCCCCCTGTGATACAGATATTTTAGAAAACATTCAGTAGTCCTAAATTGACTTGGATGCAGTTTAGAATCATAGAAAAATTGAATTGGAAGAATCCAGCTCCCTGCTCAGTGTAAGAATCCAAATCCAAGTAGATCTGAAGGATGGTTGTCCAATTCTCTCTTGAATAGTTCCAGCATTGGAGTACTCCAGTGTTCCTGAGCCAAGTATCCCCATCTTGAAACTGTGCATTTGTTTTTCCCTCCGGCTATAGAACTTTGCACTTAATCCCTGTTAAATTTCATTCTGTTGTTTTCAGCCCAGTGCTAATCAGAATATCATGGGGTATTTTGTGAGAGGCTTTGTTGAAATCAAGGTTGTTTTGTTTTGTTTATACATCACCCCATTATTGTAAGCACTATATGTAGCATTTGCCCTGCTCATGAATATTTACGTTGAAATTTGCGTGCACCAATAGGAATCGGTGTGGGGCAGAGTCAAGTGGATGATAAGAAAAGGAGGGAGAGCAGAGTAGGTGGTTGAGAGTAGAGAAAGAAGGTTGTTTAGTTGAGAGTTAACAACATTGACTGGACATTTATCACTTGTAACAAACAATTTCTACTTGGTTCTTAAATGATAACGTTGCCTGGACATCTGTCATTAATAGTGAATAAAGTTGATGTAATCAACTGGTGGCAGATGAAAACAACATGCAGCGTGCACCTTTGCTTGGTGAAACAACCAAGGGCCATGCAGGAATGTGACACTATACTGGATAGTTTACTGCTTAAACATAAAACCTCATAAAACCCCACATAATACATATAAAAGCTCATCTATTTCCAACACACCCAAATAATCCTTGCAACAATCCTGTAACCATTAGGTGTAAGTTAAGTGGCTGGGTGTAAGAAGCAGAAATATATCTCACTCCTAAGCTGCATAGTTCATAATCAGACAATATCCCACATGCACTGCATCTTTGACTTATATCCTCAATTCAAGGCCCTTGGGGGGG